ATAAAAGGACGTTCCGTCAGACGGCAGAGAGAGGAACAAGACGCTGATGCAGAACAGAACAGGGAGAGACAGGGATGCCGACAGTCCCACTCGTCACCGCTCCGCCATCGGCAACCAGGGCACGGGTCTCTTGTGGGGTTTCATATACACCTTCCCCTCAAAAAAAAAAAAACTCCAGGCAAGACCCCTATCATTCACCTGCTCCACGCCCCAACCTCTTACATTGACACTGACCATTCCTGAATCCTTTCCCATTCAACATTATGACTAACAACAGTCGTATCTACTTTCAACTTACCCAAAGGATTTCATCAATTATCGAAGACCCTTTATTACCTGTTGTAAGACCATCTCCTGTCTCATTGAAAGAAAAGAGAAAGAAAAGAATTGAGAGAGGAGGGGCAATAATGTAGAAAGTGAACAGGAAGAGAGCAAGATCATATTTTTGCTTATGACATCTTAAGGTATGGACCATGTCTAAACTTTATTTTAATTTATTGTAATAACATCGTAATATATTCATGTGGTATGATGAATTTCGTGAATCAAGATATTGTACTGTGTTTTGGTCCACACACAACATAGAAGCAGATAGCACTGGAAAATGTATGGTTAGCCGATCATTATTGGCAGGCCGCGTGGGATCTCATCTACCCAGCGCAGGAAAAGTTGAACTGAGATCTCGCCACAAGTCACCACATGTGATACTCTCAAAATATTGCAGAAGCTCACAGTCCAGAACTGTCTTATATGATGTCATGATTGTAGGCTGAGAACAGGTATAAGGAGAAGTATGCTGTTGCCTTGCTTACTTGTAGGTGGCGATAAAAAATGTTGAGGTATAAAAAGAGGAATAGGGATGTGAGAAGGAGGAGGGATGGAAGGGGAGTGAAGATGAGCAAGGAAAGAGAGAGAGAGAAGGGAGGGTAGGGTTGGTGAGAGTGAGAGAGGTGGGGTTGCGGAGGAAGGCAGAGAGGGAAAGAGAGGAGAAGGAGAGAGGGTGGGAGGGAGAGAAGAGAGAGAGAGGGGGGGGGGGGGAATAATGCATTGTCGCATTTTTTATCATGAATATTATAACCTTTCCGATCGGGATTCGATCCCTCGCCGTCAATGCACGTAAATGCAAGATGGCCGCCCCAGACCACTCGTACAACGACCCACTGAAAAGGAGTGAGCAACTAGGAGGTTACTAGCACCCAGAGAGATTATCTATCTACTCATACATGAGTAAGGATAGCGAAATTTCACACTCACTCCCTGTGGGTACTCGTATTTATGGACAGAGCAGGACAAATCCCAAATCTGAGAAGCTGAGGTGCATTCTTTGAAAGATGGAATAATGCAATTCCGCATTTTTATCATGAATATTATAACCTCTTCAATCAGGATTCGATCCCTCGCAGCCAATGCACGTGAATGTGTGAAACTTCGCTATCCTTACTCATGTATGAGTAGGTAGGTAATTTCTATGGATGCTAGTAAGCTCCAAACTCCTTTTCAGTGGGTCTGCAGCGGCCGTCTTGTATTCACGTGCATTGGCGGCGAGAGATCGAATCCCAATCGGAGTGGTTATAATATTCAGAGAGAGAGAGAGAGGGGGGCGAGAGGAGGGAGATCAATACAAGACATGATAACTCAATTTTGTTAGGAAGAAGTAAGAGATTAGGAGTTCAAAATACTGCTTGATTTTTTTCCCAGGAACACCTGTCTGTAGAGAACTGACGAACTCAGGGGTCGGATTTGGCCGACTGAATTGAAAACCAAGCTGGAAAAGAGTAGCTAGTTTTACATCTAGAATTGCCAATCAACTTGAAAAACATTGCAATTTTCATCTCAGTAGAATATGAAATGATTATAAAGATTAAGCCAATCAAAAGAACCATACTAAACTGATAGCACTCTTTTAAAAATGTATGTACACTACCATTTTGTTTTTACACCAATAAAGTTTTCATGAAAGAAAAAAAAGGTGGTAACTATTTATTCATTACTTTGAATCAGAAAGACATTCCGCTTCTAAAAACATGAATGTCAGAACTCTAAAATTTTGCATCTTCAAAATGTAAGTTAAGCAAATGGTTAGAGGTGAAATAAAATAAATATGAAAACCATACATTTATGTATATAATAATAATAATAATAATAATAATAATAATAATAATAATAATAATAATAATAATAATAATAATAATAATAATAATAATAATAATAATAATAAATAAATAAATAAATAATAATATTAATACAACC